ATTGCATATTGTTAAAAGGAGGTACATAGTGTGTACATACACAAACTTATTAGGAATAATGTGGACTGCATGTCTAATGTGGGCTACATTCACCATAATATGTACATTCATCATGCAGTATAGAAGCAAAATTCACACTATGCCATAACATCTTATTATTTCATTCACCGAATTCTACATTTCCATAAGTAAGATTGTTCTCAGGCATCCTTAAGACATACAGTTGCACGTACCGATGAAGTGAATATTGATAATCATATAGATTCGTATTATAATCAAGCCTCCATTATCTGAAACTCTATGGAAATTATGTTTAGCGTTTATCTTGATGAAAGCTATTAGATTGTGAATGCATGCACTTCATAGCAAAGGCTAGGATCTCTGAAATACATGGATAAGCAGAAAGCTCTTCCACTCACACACGGAATGACCCTGATGTCTCAAGGCTGCAGCCTCTGCCCTCACCAATAAGAATACTTACAGTGGTGCCTCGCAAGACGAAATTAATTCGTTCCGCGAGTTTTTTCGTCTAGCGAATTTTTTCTCTTGCGAAGCACAATATCCCATAGGAATGCATTGAAATTCAATTAATGTGTTCCTATGGTCAAAAAAAGTCCAAATAAAGCCAAATTTGGTACAACAAGAGTTTATTAAGTGCTCTTTAAAGTCACACATACTGTAAAGAGCATTTCAAAAATTGAAGGAACAATAAATTAAGTTTCTAAACATGACAGAAAAACATTTAAAAATCAACAAAGTGTACAGTACATTTTCTAAGACTCTGGGGAACCACTCGAAGAAGGTTCCTCTTCCACTCTTTGCTTCTTGCTGAAGAACCTGTCCATGGTCTGCTGCTTCATCCGCCTTTTCAGCACCTCCCTGAAAGGCGACATGACCCTCGTATCAAAAGTGTTCGCAAGGTCATGTGCCACGTGCTTGTCAGGGTGGTGTCGCTGTGCAAAAGCCTGCACATCCTTCCACTTCAGGCAAATGTCCCTCAGTTCTTTGGAGGACAGCCGTTCCTCAGTTGCTTCCTCCTCTTCCAGCGAGGCCTGCTCCTGCGCAGCCTCTGCCTGCAGTTCGACCAGCTCCTGGGTGGTCAGCTTGTGGTCGTGCTCCTCCACCAGCTCGCTGATGTCCTCCTCTGTGACCTCCAGGCCCATGGTCCTCCCCAAGGCAACAATGTCCTGCACCACTGTTGACTCTGGTGCATCAGAGTCACTTGGTGCCACACAGTCCGGCCACAGGCTGCGCCAAGCGCAATTCAAATTTCTCTGGCTGATCCCGTTCCAGGCCGTGGTGATCATCTTCAAGCAGGTGACGATGTTGAAGTGGTCCTTCCAGAATTCCCGCAGGGTGATGGTGGTGCAATCAGTCACCTCGAAGCATCGCCTGAAAAGCTCCTTGGTGTAGAGTTTTTTGAAATTGGCGATGACCTGCTGATCCATTGGCTGGAGCAGTGGCGTGGTGTTAGGCGGCAGGAACATGATGCTGATGAAGCTGAACTCCTCCAACAAGTCCTCCTCAAGGCCTTTAGGATGAGCAGGAGCATTGTCCATCAGAAGCAAAGCCTTCAGCGGCAGGTCGTTGTCCAGCAGGTACTGTTTGACAGCAAGGCCAAAAGCAAGATTGACCCAGTCCACAAACAGCACATGTGTGACCCAAGCCTTACTGTTGGATCGCCACATGACACTCAGCTGCTCCTTGTCGACCTTGTGTTTCTTGAAGGCCCGTGGGTTCTCCGAGTGGTACACCAGCAGGGGCTTGATCTTCAGGTCGCTGCTTGCGTTGGCACAGAAGAGCAGGGTCAGACGGTCCTTCATGGGCTTGTGGCCAGGCAACTTGGCCTCCTCCTGTCTGATGAAAGTCCTTTTGGGCATCCTCTTCCAAAACAGCCCGGTCTCGTCGCAGTTGAAGACCTGCTGTGGAACGTAGCCCTCCGTCTTCACAGCCTCCAGGAACTCCAAGGCAAAGTCTTCAGCCGCAGGAACATCAGAACTGGCAGCCTCTCCATGCCTGACCACGCTGTGGATTCCAGATCTTGTCTTGAACCGGTCAAACCAGCCTCTGCTTGCCTTGAAGACTTCTGGCTCGCCTGAGGTTCCTGGCTGTTCCCGGACGAGGTCTGCGTGCAAGGCCTTGGCCTTCTCACAAATGACGGCCTCAGTCACTGTGTCCCCTGCACGCTGCTTCTCTTCTAACCAGATGAGCAGCAGCTTATCCACCTTCTCCAGAACAGCTGGGCGGTTCTTCACGATCCTGGCTGCATCAGTCGCAAGGATCTTCTCCCTCATCTTCAGGATGGTCCCAATGGTCAATGGATTCCTCCCGTACTCCCTGGCGAGGTCTGTCACACGCATTCCACCGTCGTGCTTCCGGATGATCTCCTTCTTCATTTCCAGCGTAACCTTCTCCTTCTTCCCCTCACCAGCCTCTGCAGCAGCAGTCTTCTTGGGTCCCATGGCAGCACAGTTCCTACCTGCGCAAACCCCAAAAAAAAAAAAAAATAATCAGTGCTTCACATCCAAAAAATTCAAAAGCACCCAGCCACCCACCACACAGAAATTCAAACCCAGAATGTTTTTTAAAAAAAACAGCAGAGTGGCCCAATGGTCACAGAAAATCATAAAAATGCAGAAAAAAACCACACAAGCTTCCAGATTCTTGCAAACCCCTCCCCAACTGTTCCCCCAGCCACCCACCACACAGAAATTCAAATCCAGAATTTTTTTTAAAAAAACAGCAGAGTGGCCCAATGGTCACAAAAAATCATAAAAATGCAGAATAAACACACACAAGCTTCCAGATTCTTGCAACCCCCTCCCCAACACCAAGTCCTTGAATTCCAAACACCCCAACGCAAAATCCAAAAACCCCCCAAAAAGTTTTAAAAGTTTAACTTACCAAATGGCTGCAAAAGAAGTTTTGGAAAAGCTTCAAAAATCACCAAAGTCTTCAAAAACCTCAAAAAAGGCTACCACACCGCGTGCTATGAGTTGCTCCTCGAAGTCAAGTCGCAACTGCACCTCTTCAAGCAATGCACCCTGGGTATTAACGGTTTTACGAAAAAGGAAACAAACTTGCAAGACGTTTTCGTCTTGCGAAGCAAGCCCATAGGGAAATTCGTCTTGCGAAGCACCTCAAAAAACGAAAAACCCTTTCGTCTAGCGAGATTTTCATCTTGCGAGGCATTCGTCTTGCGGGGCACCACTGTACCTGGATTCCAAAATTTGCCCTGAAATTATGTGGTAAATAAAAACAATTTGACCTAATTTTTCAAGGGTATTTTTTAACCCCTCTTGGCTTCTGAAGACTCTTTGGTGCTATCATTAAAGTATTTCAAAGTAAGCAACAACAAAGATTCCCCCTGCCATGAGAAATGAAAGCAAAAGTTTGATTAACCTTTGTTAGTTAAATTACAATCTGAACCACTTATCATTTAATGCAATGTCTTCCAGAGCAAGACTTGCTCTTTTAGAAAATGCCAGTTTTGGATATTTATGGCACTAGCATTTTTTAAACATCACAATAGCAGCAAATGACAAGTTATACTCTTTCCAACTCTTCTGAAAGCAACTATTTCAGACTAGCTCTTTTAACTGCAGCACTAGCTTCAATTATCTTTCTGTGGTTGTGCCTGAGCTATAAAGCTATTGTTTTCTGGCCATGCTTAATGGAATTTCCGTTTTTCTGTCTGCAAGTGTGCATCATGGCCAGAGAATTGCTTACAATTATTCATAGAAGACATTTTGGGAGATGTGTTAAGACTTTGGTGAATGGTTTGAAAGAACTTTCACCACAATCTTTGAAACAAAGTTTTGAATGTTGTTCTATCCAAATGGGCCTGTAATAGCGTAATTCACGGTATTGCTAATGTTCAGCTATGAGTGCCAATGCTTATTTAACAAAAAACAGCACCAAGCAAATACAAGACAAAAATAGCAACACAGCAAAAAAAATATTGTTTTTTAAAAAAGTTGTTTTTAAATCTGGTGAAAAAACCAAATGGGTAATAACCCCACAAACAGCCTATGCTTTGTGGTTACAGAACGGCAACTGACTGAAGAATGGGAAATGGGAGCTTCAGTTCGGTAACATTTTCTAAAGGTAAGTGAAACAAGCTGGAGGGGAAACACTTATTAAAACCTTGAATCTTTTAAAGTTGCACATGACCTGAACCTTCTAGAATAGGCAACAGAAATAGTTGCCTGGCCCCAGCCTTCAGCATGCACGCTTGAAGTCAGGCGTGGGGACCTTACTGTTCCACCCCTTAACTGACTCCTGGAATGTCCCCACTATAGGGAAGTGCCAGAGAAAAGTTCACTAGACACACCTATTGCATGAAAGAAGAGGCCTTATGAGCTTGGTCAGCTGCAATGGAGAATGATATACAGACCATGATGGTCAGTAGTAAGGTGGCTACAGTCACATACCTTGTAGAGAGCAGACCAACTGCTACAGCAGACAATGTCTTAGAGAAACTAACATAGCTGTGGCAGCAGCTCTTAGGGTCTTCAGAGACGGACTGCCACCAGTGGTAATGGCAGCAACAAGATGAAATCAAGAGTCATGTAGCTGGCGACACACTGGTAAATTGGGGCTTAGCATATGCTATCAAAGGAGGCCTGCTCCCATAAGGTCATCAAAATCCAGGAGGATCTGTTCCAGCGTGCTTATCTTGTGAACTCTTGACAACACAGGGGTGTCAAGAGGCAAATGAGGCAGCTATAGTGCCTGTCTGACAGACGCAACTTGCTGCCTACAAATGGCATCCTGCCAATACCAGTCAGCACAGAAAAGTGAAGGGGAAAGTAATTAAAGTCTAGCTCTAGACCACATAGAAAGTTTCATCTAATGCAGGCACAGTGATGCTGAAAAAAGAAATGAGAAGAAATTTGAGCATGCAGCCTAAAGTGGACTGGCAAAATATATATATAACCTGGCTTGATTCACTTATGAACTTTGTTCAGTTTAGGACCAAAACGTATAGCCATACTTCAGACACCACAAATAATTTTATTCAACACCGTAATTTGAACAAAGTCTATTTATTTCAATTTCACACAAAACAGAAAGCCTAGTCAGATCTAGTAGTTAGTTTCTCCATTGATCCATCACATCAAGGCGCTTAAGCCTTCAAAAATGACACGTAGTATCAGATGTGGAAGCTGAAGTGAAACTATTAGCAGTCTTAATCTGAACACAAGACTTTCTTCAATGACCTCAAACAGTAAGACTACTTCTTCCTATGGCTACCTTTTTTCATGATGCAGTACAGAAGCTAATTCAGGCTACTTGTACTGTAACTTCTTAGGTCAACCAGACATAAAGGTGGTACCCTAATCACCTAAACTTTTAATTACCACCAAAATGGTCAACAAGCCAATTTCACCATTTCATGCCCCTGTCTGATTACTAAATAAAGCATGGTTAAACCCTCAAATTTAAAAGAAGAGAGTTAAGCACGTGCCCACTAAACTCAATAGGTCTTGGTTGGACAACACATTATTTTTATTTTAGGAATTGGCATTTGTTGGCATGGGATATGTTTTGCCATACATTCAGCATATAATTCATAATTTAAACGTATTTCTTGGATAAATTTTTTAATCCATATATATACCCCGCAAACACAATCTTCTTTTATTGCATTGACAAATACATACATTAGTTTAGGACAGCTACTATAAAAATAATGTACAGCTTTATAAAAAAAATTCTAGGAACTTGGATTGTACAAACTCAAGATAAAAATATAGTCGTGTTTTAGTATTTCCATTAGATGTAGGTATGCTCTAAAAAATTTAAACCACTATTCCCCTATTCTTTTGTCTGTTCTAAAAACAAACAAAAAATACACATGGTTTATATTTTTGATTCCATACAAGAACCTCAAAGTTTATATTTTTGTACATAATTTGAAAATCATTCTCTCCACAGGGGACGTAAGAATATACAAAGCATCAGGTGCACAATTATAGATTCTCCAGGTCCCTGAATGACAGAAGAACCACTTTACTCTAAGGAAGATGAGCATTGTGGGGAGCAGCAGGTGGAGGTGGTATTGGAGGTGGTGGTGGTGGTGGCAGAGACAGCAGTGAGAACAATGGGTCGTATGCATTCTGACTACACTCATGAGGCCACCCCCATGGTACAGATGGGGGAGGAGGTGGGAAATTTGCCTCGTTATTAACAGTTTCAAATGTTGGGGGAGGAAAAGAATATTGATGTCTCCTCAGGTTCTCCTGCCTCTGCTGCTGGCAATAAGCTGAAGGCTTTGGAAGTTCTGTGAAGTTAGAGTAATGCTGTGGAGATGTCCCATACTGCCTGAAGGAACGTGGGGAAGCAGATGAATGAGGAAATCGACTCCTGGCAAAGGTAGGATTGGGTTCTCTCCCAAAATATCCATGTGAATAATCTGAAGGATATTGTCTTCTGGGCTGATAATGAGCTCCGTTCCCATCTGCAGAAAGAAATGAAAAAGCAATGTGGTATTTTGGTAATTCAGGGTTATCCTGCGAATGTGGTATCATGGGGAACACGGACTGCCCCCTTCCCACCCTGGGCCAAGTTTAAGTGTGTTTTCATTTGTTTCAGTCCTTTAAATTTGTAAACTGCCTTGGTTACCTTGCGAGAAAGGCAGCATATAAATTGCAACGAACCAATGAATGTCTGCTGACACCGTGGATTCATTTGGGTAGAAGGGTGTGATAAAAATTCAATAAACATTTCCAGCTTCCGTAGCAGAATAAATGATAATTTCCCCCTGCAACCCCACACTGTTAATCTGTTCAGGATAAAGACAATATTGACACTGAAAGGTTCTCACACGCAAGGACTAAAATTTACAATTATGCTATATTCATACAGTAATCCATCTAAGAAAGTGGGATTTTGAGCTTTTATACATTAATTTGGTTTGAGGCCCAACATTAAAATTCCGTAATAGCACCTACTTACTGGAATCCTCTGGTTGTGGTCGGCACTTCTTTCTTCTTAGATTCTGAGATTTCTTCTGCTGTTTAGCTGCTCTCTCTTTCTCATCATCACTATAATCTAAAGCCTAGATCAAAATATTTACATAAGAAACTGGAAACTGAGCAGAATATACCATTTGGTTTTTTTTACTGGCTATCAGCAGGCAATAACAGGTTATTTGATGCTCATTCATAAATATGACATTCTGGAATACACTATATGCACCTTTACTACCAATGGAGTATAGTAGTAGAAGAGAAACCCAGGCAGATGGGCGGGGTATATATAATAAATTTGTAGTAGTAGTAGTGAAAAATATAGGAAAGGATTATTTACATAGGATTCAAAGTACAAAATGATACAACTAGTTTTGTATCTTTCCTAAATTTACTATTTACACTAAAGGAGAAGCAATCTGGAACTGGACCAAGAATCAATTTCACTGCAGAAATACAAAATTAAAGCAGCATGATCTTCATGACATGTTACGGACCATGGGATTCTAACCTGCCTTTCACAAACTTAATGAAAAATCTGCCATTGGGAGTTCCCCCAGCTTGATCCTTGAGAATATTATAGGACATGTGGGGAGCTATAGGTGGAGGGGGCAATGATAGAAAATTACTCCTTCATTAAGTCGCTGAAGAAGCAGTTTAGGATCCAAGTCAATTTATCCTCTTTCTGAGGATGAACTAAAACCTTTTAAAGATTGACAAACTACTTTGAAAATCCAGCTTTCAGACTACTGATACGTGGAGCTAAAGAACTCACACCGATTCTCATAAAGAGCTAATGAAGATGCAGACAAGATATATGCAGCGCTATCTCTCATTGTTGTTCAGACAATTAAATGTTAAGATGCTCTCAGGGAAATTCATATTCCGTTGAACGACAGACACTGCTTAAGTGATTTTTCTATGCATATAATATCCCGCAAGAATACTGCTCTTTAAGTAGTAACCACTTACAGACATTAAGGTATAAAATTTGTACACAAAAGGAAGTACTTGCCTCGGGTGGTGGTTCTTCATCATTTTTCCATGATGCATCAGATCCTCTCTCTCTGCAAGATGAGACAAAGTGAAAGATCTATATACTGGGCATTATCTCTATACATGAGTTACTGTTACCCTCAAGCAGGAGGAAAGAATAAAAAAAACCACAACTGAAATGCTACCTGTAGCCTCAGCCATTCAGAATTTGAACACTCAAAAGAGCTTCCACTACAGATATCAATTTCACATAGGAAAACTCACCTGCATGTTATAATGTCTAATTCATCTTATGTGCAAAACCACACATGGCAAAGAAATACATGGAACGTTATAGTACACATGCAGTATTGATTCCAGTCTGGGAACGTCAGATTTAATTAAAAGTTTGCAAGAACTGTGATTCCTAAGACAACATTTGTCCTTTGATAGTTCTTTTGTCATGGGTGAGAGGAAAAGCCAGAAAACAGCGTGGATAAAAATAAATGATTTTTTAAAAAAACTTATTAAACCTCACAATAATTTAATAATTATCTGTCAATGTATTTCTAATAGTATAACCAAATCAGTAATTTTTGATATAACTGTAAAAACTACTCTGAAAATTTATTATTACAAAAATGAAACCTTCATCTGGTTGTAAATATTAAGATTATACCAGCAAGAATGTGTCTTTCTGTAAAAAAATAATAATTTAAACCAAGTCTTACTGACTAGTGATTTAAATCAAATCCACCCTGCCGGAAAACCAGTGGCAATTTTTCAAATTGCCCACTTCAATTCAATTGTGTACCATATTTGCCAGCAGCATGAGCCAGAAAGCAACAGTTCAAATCTTACCTCTGTGACAAATTTACTAAGCGGCCTTGGGCAAGTCACAGTTCATTCAGCTCCAAGTTCCTATCTTCAGTACTGAAATAGGACTGTCAGTGAGCCCTAATACCACTCTCTAAACAGAAACAGATTTTAACTGAAACTGACAGGGCCTGATCCAGTCCAAGCCCCAGCATAGCAGCTGCAGCAGATGATTTCATCATGGCTCAGAGCCTTACCCTCCCCCTTCTGTCTAACATGCAAGTTACTCAGGAGAGGGAAAGCAGAATGGAGATATAGACGCCCCATATGAGCTTCTCAATACTTGCAGTGATTCATCCATGATTCCTCCACAGATAAAAGGTTAAGACAGATAAAAAAACAGGACTTCTGGGTGCATGCATGATGCATTTACTTAATGAGGCCTTCAGTTTAGAGAATAGCCTGTTGCCACAAATAAGGAGCAAACCCATTTCCACCTGATCTGATGAACATTTTGAATAAGGAACAAGGGTTATCAACAGAGCAACGTTTGAAGAAGCTCAGGATAGATGCTTCCTCTATCCCAAACACACCCTTCTGGGAGAGGATATAGCACATGATTTTAACTTCTGTTCAAAATCACTACGATTTTTAATCAGGAATCCTAAATCCAAAAGGCTTATTATGCTCAAGGATAGGTTTTGGATCATTTGAAGGCTACATTAAGTCTAGAATTAAAAAGCCTTCTGGGCAATATGAGTTGTTTATTTCCATACCAAATTTATAGCTCAAAATGAGGAAATCTTCAGGAGAACCAAGGTAAGGACCTCAAAGGATACTTACGTCTTTTAAACAGAACATCTGCATATAAGTCTCATATTCATATATCAGGAATTGTAAGTATATGGACACTAATGGCTAGCAAAGGTATTGTCTAAGCATTTCGGAATGCATCATCAAGGAGATGAGTTCTAAATCTATTTAGCAAGACTTTCAAGATGCACACATTTACATTACTTACTGTTTTATTTTTTCTGGAAATATATACTGGGTGAAGCTTTCAACGGATGGAGCAAAATATACAGCCTCGTGCATCTTAATACCTTTGGATTCTATACGCTCAGGACTGTTAAACTGTAGCACATAAAAGGGATGTGACACAGGACCAAATACCTCAAAGACCTGCAAGACAAAAACCAACATTAGACATTCTATAATTTAGTATTCACCAACCTGGTGCCCTCCACATGTTTTGGACTAACTTTCATCAGCCCCAGTCAGCACAGCCATACTGACTTGGGCTAATGATATAGTAGCAATCCAAAACACGTCACAGCTTGGGGAACTGAAGCACCCAATATAAAATACTATGTTGTATCAAACAATGTAGCATTACTCAGCTGCTCATAAGGCTTCTGTCAGACGAACAAGGAAGGAAGCAGTTTTCAATGATTCCTCCCCCCCCCCCCTTCAAATGGTTGAGTGATTTAGGAAGGGTGCAGGGGCTTAAGAAGGGAGAGGGAATCAGTGAAAATTGCTTCTGTCCTGTTCTGCTAATGGCAGTCTTAAAGTAAGATGGACAACACTGCTGAACACAACCCTGTAAGAATTCACCTCCAGGCCCCATTGATTTTAGGCATGTTTCTTTGAATGCTCAAACAGAAAAGCCAAGTTCATTTGAATGTATGCAAATAAGTGCAACACAAGAGAGAAATAGGGCCTGCAACATACAATCTAAAACAAAGGAAGAGGCTTTCAATCTATATTTTATCACTAGCTGAACCTATGCGACATGGCGAGTCATTTTTTCAAAATCATGTTTGAAAGTACAGTTAAGTATCTTCAAGGTTACTGCCTATGTAAGGTAGCTTGATAGTGCCTTTATACTGGCAAAGTATTTCTACCTCTTCAGTTGTTCTTTACTTTAAAAAATGTATTTCCCCAGAAATTCATTAGACGTGAATAAAAAATATGTAAAAACTCATAATGAGCAGAATGCAAAAAGCCAAAAGGCTTTAGATTAGTGATGGGGAAGCCTTTTGAGTCTGAGGGCCACGTTCCCTTGTGGGTAGCCTTCGGCAGGCCAGGGGTGGGGAGGCCCAAGTGATGGAGTCTGGGGAGAATCCCAAGGTCCAGATGGAGAGTTGCATTGAGCCCCCAGGCCTGAGGTTCCCCATTCCTGCTTTAAAAAATAATATATACAGTACAAGTCATGTGCAATTTGCTCACCTTTCCCATTGAATGCCGATCTTCTTTAAATAGCACCGTATCTTCATTGACTGGAGGTAGCCCTTTCTGTGACTCTATTATTACTAAAAAGAAAATATTATAAAGCTGACAACCTTTTCCAAAAGAAGGTTAAACAGCATTAGTTTAAATCTCATTGCCCTGCTTCTACCTTCATAACCCAAGTTTGAGGAACTACCGTATATACTCGAGTATAAGCCGACCCAAATATAAGCAGAGGCACCTAATTTTAGGACAAAAACCTGGGGAAACTTATTGACTCGAGTATAAGCCGGTTCACCACACCACAAACCTGGCAGCGGCAGCAGCAGAGGAGGAAGAACAAGCAGCCCCAAAGGGCTGCTTTCAGGCTGCTCCTTCCTCCTCTGCCACTGCCGACAGCGGTGAAAGAGGAGGAATAACAAGCAGCCCGAAAGGGCTCCTTTCAGGCTGCTCGTCCCTCCGCCGCCACCTCTGCCGCTCACAAGAGCAGGCATAGGAGCCCAGTTGGGAGAGGCACAGCGCAGAGCCTCTTCCAACCTCGGCCCCTGTGCCTGCCCTTGCAAGAGGCGGGCAGTGGCGGAGGGACGAGCGGCGAGAAAGGGCTCCTTTCTCGCCGCTTGTCCCTCTGCTGCCGCCCGCCTCACTCGAGTATAAGCTGAGGGAGGCTTTTTCAGCATAAAAAAATATGCTGAAAAACTCAGCTTATACTCAAGTATATATGGTACTTTAAACTACAATATTAATCTATAGCTGCACTGATGAATAAAGTTTGAGCCATGCATCATGTGAAACCAGCATGTGCACTGGGAAAGCAGTGCCCCATTTGAAGGTATTCACGTGATGAGCTTGTTGTAAGACAGAGTAGCATTCTCAGTACTCACAAGCTCACTGTTTACAATTGCTTATTGCTACAAATCAGAAAGCTCTATTGTTTCTACAGATGGAAATTAGACATCTATCAACTTCTGCTAGAACTATCAGAATGCTACACCTCTCCATTAAGCTTGATATTCACTGGGACGCTATAATTAAAAGACGCAGAGATCAATAGCTTCAAGAAAAGCACTGTGACACTTTGCTGTAGAACTAATAGCAATGTAATGAATTGTGGATATTGTGGATAAACTGTTACCTTTCCTATTATATACTTTCTGACAAGCAGATTTCATGTTTAACATCAAAAGTGCATGAAACTATGTAAAAGAGTGTCAATTTCTAAAGAAGAAAACTACAAAGAAGGCAGGTGATTTGATATCATTTAATAAAAATGTAAATTACTCCCAATTATCCTGCAAAAATCTAATATTCATTGCTGCAGAAACAAGAAAATGCTTCTGCAACACTTATTAACGGAAACTCATTTCCTGGCAAGGAAGTCATCCATTCTGAGACAGTATAATGATCAATTAAATATTCACACTCATCACTCCTTCACAAAAAAACTCCAGAGTACAATTAATGCAGCAGTGACAGCTTGATCCCTACTAGGGCTATAAAGGTGAAGCAATAGAAAAATAAAAAAGTGCACTCTTGTGACATGTTCTGGCTAACACCAGACTACACAGGGTGCAGATCAACAGAAATTAAAGGACCTAACTTAGTCATGCTCATTAACTCAAATAGGTCTACTCTAAATAAAACTTAGTTGAATAGTAGCAAGAGTGATCTTGTGAGTGTCAGTTAATGGCTTTGGTCTCTCTCTTCTCACCTCATCAGGTGTGAAAATATATTGTACCACATATAAACTTTTCTTTAAAGGCCTGAAGCTGTAAATCAAAACCTGTAACTTACTGTAATGAGTTGCAAGGCATTTCCCCACTTGTTCACATTATCAAAGTATCTGTCCATATATGTGTTCTGTAATCTATTGGCATCCCATCTTGAAACGGTTCAGATCCATAAGGATCTGTGCCTTTCATCAATATTTTTGTGCTTTGGTGCTGCTGATCTGTGATTTACAGCTTTGCAGTTTATCACTGTGACAGTGGTTTCCAGAGGACCTTGTGTAAAAATAATCAGGGAGGGAGGGGGAGAGGGGACTGAGGTGCAGCAGCCACAGCACTCCCGAAATTTCAAATGTACCCCCAGGAAGAAAAAAAAAGGTTGGACAAACCCAAGTACAATGACCCATGTTTTGAACAGATGGAACTACTGAGTAGATTTTAACTCAAAAAGAAATACGTCACCTTAAAATGCATATTTTAGTGACTTAATCACAATGGCTGGAGTATCCAATAAGAACGCTCAGTTGTACTAGTCACACTATATTTCTGCATGTGTGTTTTCATACAATCAGGATTACACAGCTATCAGCACAATTTTAGGCTTGATTTAAATCGCTTGCATTTGACAGACTATGATTCATGTTCTGTGTAGAAAATGTGCTTGAAAGACCCTGTCACTTTAAATCCGTTACCTATCTTATTTGGTTTTAGAAAGGTAAGATTTGCAGTGAAAGCCTGTGCATATTTTTTCAGTCTCATGTCCCACTCTGTTCAATGGGGTTCACTTACAGATTCGCAATCTTAGGAGAAATGCAGCATGCTAGTGTCTGGCCCGTACCATTTCAAGCACAAAAAGAGGGGTAATGCTAAGGGGAACCAGAAGGAAGAGCCGCAACATGAGTCAAAATCTAGACAAGAATATTACGCTCAATACACTTTTCCTTCTTGAACAGCAAAAATACTCCCCCCCCCCCCATTATGGCAGTTCATTCATACCATGCTGCTTCGAAACAAACATGGCAACAACATGTTTTCAATTAATGTTTTTGTACATTATTTTGGTTTCAGATGCATTTTAAATGCTTTTAAGATGGTTTTGATTATTGTATTCTCTATATTGTTCATCGCTGTTGGCTCCCACAGGAAGAACAGTACAGAAACATTTTTTTCTTAAAAAAAGAAACCATTTACCTCACATGCATGCCAACAGCTTTGCTTTCTCCGTATTTTAATTTTATGGTATAAACCCAGGAGTTTTTGGAACAGCATTGCTAGACTCATGCAGCCTTCTCTGGCATGGACAATCTTACTTGCCTCTAGGTTTAACTGGAATAAGTAGATTTTTAATTTGTATAATACAATTTAATATATACAGTGTCCTGCCTAAAGATACAGATTTTTGCAGCTAGCTCTGTGGTACTATGGTGTGTCCCTCTTCTCTTCCTCTCCAACTTTAGCTGCAATTCCAGAATTACCACCTTCAACTTAATGAAGAGTAAACAAATGCCCACAGAAAGTATGAAAAATATTGCCACCAATATGGAACTGAATCACTATGTGGACTATACCTCAGAATTATCCTTTGCCAATGGAATCTTTGACACTGCAGTGTTTGTGGCGCTATTAAGAAACTTCCAATACTAAAATATCACTACTAACTGAACACCAAGCACAAAAACCACTACCTTTCCCAAAGCTTATTTTCTATTTACTTTCACATATTGTCATTGCTTTCTGTGATACACATTCTACAAAGCTTTTTCTTCTTCAGCCTTTATTCTCAATGCACTGCAGTTTATCGCTGGCCAAGTGGCTCAATTTGTGCCCCCAGACAACCTTCCACATAACACATGTTTTAGCATTGACAACTAGAAGAAAAGTTAGGAATTCTCAAGACAAAATGATCTTATTGGCAAGGGCACCCTGCTGAAACAAGGAGAGAGCCTAGTGAGGAAGAAGGGGCGGCAAAAGAGTCAAAATGAGAATTTGGCGAGGTGTGGGTTAAACCGGAGCCTAGGACTTGCCAATCAGGTCGGTGGTTCGAATCCCCGTGACGGGGTGAGCTCCCGTTGTTCGGTCCCAGCTCCTGCCAACCTAGCAGTTCGAAAGCACGTCAAAGTGCAAGTGGATAAATAGGTACCGCTGTGGCAGGAAGGTAAACAGCGTTTCTGTGTGCTGCTCTGGTTTGCCAGAAGCGGCTTAGTCATGCTGGCCACATGACCCGGAAGCTGTACGCCGGCTCCCTCGGCCAATAAAGCGAAATGAGCGCCGCAACCCCAGAGTCAGCCATGGCTGGACCTAATGGTCAGGGGTCCCTTTACCTTTAGGTTTTAGTTCTATGTGGTGCAGTAATAGTCACAGAGATGAGAAGTGTAAGGCAGAAGAGACCTACTACACATTTTGGAGGGACAAAGGAAGCATAAGAAGAAGTTGCATTTTGATGGTAGCCCGAGAGAGAGCGGGGCAGGATGCACAGCTGCATGCATGAAATGAATGAAATATAGGTTTTGGGTAGATGTGCATGAAACCAGGGGGTGAAACAAAAAGTACACATTCTAGAGGTTCTGACTATCCCTTGACACTAAACTATACTATACACTTGGCATCTACACACTTAGGAATATGGTATCATATTATAACTTATTCTTATATCCTGCCTTTCCTCCAAAAGGAATCCCTCTGTCAAAACATTAAGCTTCTCAATACACTATGAACTATAAAGGAGAACAATTATTGAAAAAGCATGCACACACATAAACATTTCGCTTACCTAGATGCTCAATGATGCTGGAAACTTTTCCAAAAGGCATAAGTTCAACCGATTCAGGAAGAATTATGGTAAAATCTTCAACAGGAAGTGGCTCCTGCTGGATAATTTTAAGAATTTATTTTCATAATAAAATATTAATCCTACTGCTGCCCACCCTAGAAATCTCTTTGTAGCTGTCTGGCCGAGGGTCAATTTATAACTGCAGACCTAAAATCCACAATTAGTTAACCTTGTTTTTATTCATTAAATTTATATACCACCCTCCATCCAAGGATCACAGGGGAGTTTACGTATAAAAACACAAAAACACATAACATAATAGCAAACAAAACAATGCTCCCCCTTTAAAAGACCATAGATTGTTTAAGCAGCCAAAGGCCAGGGAGGAGAGGAATGTTTTCAACTGGCACCTGCCTGAAGATATGTAATGAAGATGCTAAGTGAGCCTCCCTGGAGCTTCCTTTGGCCAAAACATCTAATTTTAGCAAACTCTGCATGTTTGGATGCATGGTGCCCAAGGAAAGGCAAGAACAGTACAACGGGAACTCCTCTGGCTATCTTCCCTACAAATCACCAAAAGTGACAAAGGATGTGCATGCCCAGTGTCTTCATGCCTCTTGAGCTCTCATTAACTAGGGAAGGCAGCATGGGTGCCTAAAAGGAAGCAAGCAGCCTGTTATTTGCTTCTCTTGACTCTTGGGCTGGGGGTGGAGATGGAGACAGTAATCACAGCACATCTTGGACCTTGGTCCACAGGCTCCAGCTGATGCAAAAAGCTTTAGTTGGACTGTTGATGGGGACAGACTATTGCTGGTACAAAACCTGAAAAGTCTGCAGTGGCTGCCCAAACACTACTGGGCCAGGTTCAAGGTTTTGTAATAATTTACCATTGGGGCCCAGTATTGAAGGGCAGCCTAATTCCTTATATCCCTGCCCTATCACTGAGATTTCCAGGAGTCACTGTTAAATGTTCCCCATGGCTCAGAGGTACAGACCATATCCACCAAGAGCCTTCTCCCTAATGAGTGCCTACTGCAGTCATTTTTACTGAACTTTTACTGAAGTTTATAGTTGCTGTGTTGAGGGTTTTTTTAAAAAAGAGGAGCAAAAACAGACACTGTACATGAAGAGAAAGACAAACATTAACAAAACAATACTTATTATTATTAACTTGTTTTCTTGATTTTACAGTTTTAATTTTGGAGGTATTGTATCTTAGAAAACTGCTTAGCAACTATTGCAGCCATGCAGTTTATAAATTGTTCAAATATATACAATAATAAACAATACACTTGTTTTGGCACTTGCTAACTTTAAGTTTGGACCAGAAAAACAAGTGATAGGGAAAGATGATAAAGTGGGACTCCAAAGCATCCCTTGCAATGCTTTAACAGACAAAGGAGGAGGGCCCCTTTGCTCTGAGCACTTTCTATAACAACATCTAATTCTGCCCTATAAAAGCACTACAGATAAGATTCTCAGATAAACCGTCCAACTATAGGTAGATGAGGATAGTCTATAAATCAACATACTTACTTCACTTAATTCGCCCTTCTTTCTATTAGGGCAAGAGTTACTTTCAGTCTTAGACTGCTGATCATCATCTTCGGACAGCATTGGAAGACAGGAAGAAGAGGAGACAGAAGATGAACTGTCTGTAGATGAACTGTCTGTATCACTGCACGAAAGTTAAATTTTATTTTTATTCTTCAGCATATCTCCTGCCACATTCTATTTACAGAAAAATCTTAAAAGAAGAAATTGTTGTTCATATAATAGCAAAAGAAGCCTATGGGCTGCATCCAACTATGTCACTCAACTTATGGTAAGGCTTCAATCAGCAGAATAGGGGAAAGTAATATCCAGTGATTTCCCTCTCTTGCTTGGAACCCTGCTCCCCCCCCCAAAAAAAAAACATGGTCTGAAGGATTCCCCAACCCTCTGGAGAACATTTTGGGAAGGAAGCAATGGAATCCTTCCTGTCACACGAGAAACACCACTGGACACAATCCTGGATTGGTAAGTGCTGTTATGATCACAAAATTTCGCAGAAGCCTAAACTCTGGTTCACTTGGTAGCCTGCCATCAAGGCATGAATGAGATGCAAATCTGAGCTTTAGGGGGACTCTACAGAACGAGCTACAGAGGAGGGAGCAGGATTGGAAAGGGACTAAACAATTGTTTGCTGAGCCTCTCCAAGCAAAAGGCTCTTAGAGAGCCCACAATTTATTCGGACTCTGGCCAGTACCAATGTTCTTCCCCACAAGAACAGACATTTAAAAAGTTCAAAAGCATAATACAGTTGAGCTGAGAACTATGCTGGTCCTCCAAAAGATATTTTGCAATTTCTACCTGAATCTAAACTCAAGTGTAAACATGTGAATAAATCATATTTCTTAAAGCAATGACAGCCTCCACTGTTGTCTTCAATTCTCCCAAGAAGCATAGGCCCTGGTTGAGGACCAAGACCCCTGGAACCCTGTGCACAGCTCAGCAGCGATTTCGCATGGCCTGCAACAATACATTTCTAACTTTCAGGGCAGCAAGGATGTATGTATTTCACCGGCTTGTTGATGCCTGCACAAAATTTCCATAGTCAGCAGGTTGGCAGAGACCCAGTATTCCCAGTGCCAGAACTACAATGCTTTGCAAGCCCTTAGTGCCACTTTCTTACTTGGGAGTATTGTGCTAAACAAACAAACAAAATCCAAGTATTGTTAATTCTCATCACTAATATGCCAATAGAATTTAGCTTTTGCAGTATATTAATATTCAACTTTTTAACAGCACACATAGCTCTGGTCATGACAAGACAAGGTCTGTTCAAGCATTCAGGAACCTACAACCTGAATTTACTTATTTATTTACTTATTTATGGAGACGTGGGTGGCACTGTGGGTTAAACCACAGAGCCTAGGACTTGCTGATCAGAAGGTTGGCGGTTCAAATCCCCGCAACGGGGTGAGCTCCCATTTTTGGGTCCCTGCTCCTGCCAACCGAGCAGTTCGAAAGCATGTCAAAGTGCAAGTAGATAAATAGGTACTGCTCCGGCGGGAAGGTAAACAGCGTTTCCGTGTGCTGCTCTGGTTCGCCAGAAGCGGCTTAGTCATGCTGGCCACATGACCTGGAAGCTGTCTGCGGGCAAACGCCGGCTCCCTCGGCCAATAAAGCGAGATGAGCGCTGCAACCCCCGAGTCAGCCACGACTGGACCTAATGGTCAGGGGTCCCTTTACCTTTACTAATTTATAGCAAAGTTTCATAAACTGTTATTTGAAGCAGGAGCCACATCCAAATGGCCCACCACTAAGGTTGGTCAGGTTGACAGGTATCAGGGACGGAGCCTTTTTAGTGATGGATTTACTGGATTTTTAGAAGACCCTTTTTCTCCAAGGAGCTCAAGGTGGTGTACATGGTTTGCCCCCTCCTCATTTAATGAGGAGGTACCGCTTCACACAAGAACAGTGTGAAGCAGGTTAGCCTGAGAGGAAGTGGATAGGCCAAGGTCGCCCAGTGAGCTTAATGGGCCAAGTGGGCTTTGGTCTCCAATGTCCTGGTCAGACACTGTAACCACTAAACCACACTGGTGTAGCATTGAAAAATAGGCCCAATATATATGCATACATCTGGTTCTGTTACATATCACTTAACTAGCAGTTTCCTAGGCTTCCCATAGGCAACCGTGATAAGGAATGCTAGGCTATACAGGCCACTGCCTGATCCAGCAGACTATGTTCTTATCAATATGTCTGGACATAAACAAGTTTATTGCAAGAGCTAGTTAAAATATTTGGCATTTTTAAGTGTTGGTAGTCTGCTCCATCATTTTTAACTACTTCGAACTCCGTTTAGATTTGTTTTAATATTAACTTACATCACTCCTGCCGCATACTGCCCTAGCATATGTAAGGACAGACGTCAGTTTTAAAATATGTTAAGGAAGAAAAACCTCGTGCTTTTTATAAAGGTGGTACCAACCAAAAGTGGAAGGTAGCACAAAATAAAACAGACTCTATAGAGCAGCACGCGACGTTTTTTCCTGCTACACAACCGGCAACCCATCACTGCCGAAGCACAGCCAGGCAAGGTCCTTTTCCAGCATCTAACTTTCCCCAAGTGCTTTTCTCCAGTCTCGCGGCCATTAAAAGGTGACGCGCAGCTAGGTGGCAAGCCGAGCAGTACAAATACCCGCTTTCCTCTCCTACTTCCCCGGGAAGTTCGAAAATGCAAGATTCCGGCCGGGCGGGATTTCCTGCCATGCTTTGCGGAACTACCCACCTGTCGGAATCCGAGGAGGAGCCGCCGCCTTCTATCGCCGACGAGTCCTGCTCGATCCCTAGCGGCGCCGGCCTCGATTCCTCCGCGACACCCATCCCTACATCTTGGAGGTCGCCGTTAAAATCCGGAAGGCTTCTCAAATCGGGCGACGGCGGCTTCTCCTCCCTTCTCTCGCCGGGGAGGGGCGTCTCGTCTGCCGGTGCAGCGGGTGCATCGGGGTCGCGGCGAGGTCCCCCGCCCGGCTCGCCTCCTTCTCCGGCGTTGAAACTGAGCCGCGGGCCGCCGACGGAGGACGACGACGAGCCATTTCCCAGCGGAGGCGGCTCCTCTTCCGTCGCGCCGGACGGCTGCAGCAGGCCGGGACAGGACCCGGGCTGCGGGGCTCCTCCTTCCACGCCGCCTCCATGAGGGTCGGAGGCCTCCGTGGCTCCCTTCTCTCCCTCCTTCACGGCAAGGGCCAGCGGGCAGATCCCGGCCGAGCTCCCCTCGGCACCGCCAGCCACGCTCAGCTGCTGCAGCCGCTGCGTCACTCGGCAGCCCGCGAGGCTGGAGTCCCCGGAGTCCCGCGAAGCCGGGAGCTCGTCCATCTGCGCGCCTTCTTTCCGCGCGTAATTACGCACAGCTGCCCTGGCAACAACGGCGGGAGCTGCGGCGCGCGCGCGCCGGATACGCTGCTTCCGGCCTCGTTCGTTCTCCGCATGGGAGGAAGAGCTTCGCGCATGCGGGGACCTGGGGACTCCAGTGTGTGCGCAGGCGCCTTTTGCCTAAATACGTAACAGGCGAGCAGTTAGAATTATGGTAGCGTTGAAGTCCAGCCCGCTTCAGTCGTTCGACCAACGTGGGACTTCAGCACACAATCCTGAGTCTCATGCTCTACCGACTGAGCTAACCCAGGAATAGTAAAGTTGCCCTAGAGCCCCATAAGAAAACGACTGAAAAGCCTTCATCAGGCCAACAAAATGTCACAAAGTAGTGTGCCATCTTTGTGGTGGTGGTAGTGAAGGCGAAACTTTTCTTAGACCAGCTGAAACGTCTGTGCAACCTTTTGACTTCTTTCAGGAGGGTTCAGTCTAGATGGCACACCCGAGTCCGTGGCTTCACCATCAGCCACATAGAATAGTAGAGTTGGAAAGGGATCACAAGGGTCATCTACTCCAACCCCCTGCAATGCAAGATTTTTTTTGTCCAGCATGGGGCTCGAACCCAAGACATTGAGGTTATGAGTCCCATGCTTTACAGCAGAGCTTTCCAAACTTTTCATGTTGGTGACACACTTTTTAGACATGCATCATTTCGCGACACAGTAATACAGCTTTACTGGCAAACCAGAGGTTAAACGAACACCTTTCCAGCCCCAGGAGGAGCATGGGGAGAGTTCATGCAGCACATCTACACAGTGCAGCCAACACTTCACGACACACAGTTTGTAAAGCTCTGCTTTAAGGTTTGAGCTATCCACCCTCTGTGTGAATCAGGATTCTCTCTGGCCACACCCCCTGGCTGGGTGTGTGAGAGTGTGACCACACTGGCTTTGTTTCACACTCTCCTTGAGTGCTGTTGCATGACTGGAATGTGTGCTTGAACTCGGATATTGTCTCTTGCTTGCCTAGATAGAAGGGTGTCTGTGTGTGCGTGTGTCTGTAGAAACTAGCCTACTATACAAAGGTAGAATTTACATTTGTTCCTTTACCCGCTTTCGCCTCTTGCCCCACCCACCATGGTCCAGATAGCAATGTAGCCCTCAGTCTGAAAAAAATTCCCCCAGTTCTTGCTTTATTATCTTACCTGACATTTTGATTTTTTTATTATAAATTTATATTTATTTGCATTCATACATCTAAGCTGCATTTCTGCCCATTGAAGCTGCTAATACAGTGGTACCTCAGGTTAAGTACTTAATTTGTTCCGGAGATCCGTTCTTAACCTGAAACTGTTCTTAACCTGAAGCACCACTTTAGCTAATGGGGCCTCCTGCTGCTGCCGCGCCACCGCCACACAATTTCTGTTCTCATCCTGAAGCAAAGTTCTTAACCTGAAGCACTATTTCTGGGTTAGCGGAGTCTGTAACCTGAAGCTTATGTAACCTGAAGCGTATGTAACCTGAGGTACCACTGTAAAAGTAACCATGAATAACAATGCATCATAAAAGAGAATAAACCTGCAGTCACAATTAGCAGAAAACCAGTATTTCAAACAAAAAATGAAAAAGAAAGCTGGAACCAATCAAAGGCCTGGTGAGATAAAACAACAGTCTTTAACAGCACATCAGAAGGCATTTAGTGTGAGGAGCCTAGGAGAATGCAGGAGCAGGGATTTTCACAAAATTGTAATAATAATCTTGTTCTTATTAACAGTAACATTTAACTGGTAATTAAGTGATGCTGGGGATATTGGTAATAAACATAGGCTGGTTAGGTACTTACATTTTTCATCTGCGCCTTACGTTTCTTGAAAAGCTTTATTCATCTTCCCACCTTGAGGGCAGTAGCTTAGTGGCAAATTCAGAAGTGCAGGGTCCCTTCATGATCATCACAGCCATGCCTCCTCGCAGCCATGTCCCCTCTAAGATTATACAACTTTTTAAGAATAAGAAATAAAGGGGGGGGGGGAGTAGGCTGTATGCCAAGCCCATTCTAACCCCTGGATCAAGCAAATGTTGAAATATAAGCCATGCTAGCTTCCTGATGAGGCGATTGCCTGGGTGATGGGCCATTAAGGGGAACAAAGGAAAGGGGCTCTGTACAAGACAGCAAATGGATAGAAAAGCATCAAGTTGGAGAGAGAGAGATGTTTGATTTTTGTTGGAATCCAAGGCTGAGACTAATAGAAGAAACAAGACTCTTTGGGGGTGTTGATGCTGAGGTGACAGGAAGTTTGGTGCTGTGTTTGTACAATGGTAGGAGCACCAGATTGGCTCTGCCAGTGTGCCCACTCAAGACTGGCCTCCCCATTGCATCACCCCTCTCCCAGTAAAAGCTAGCACTCTTTGTCAGTTCTGTGGGTGGTGGGGCACGGATGTTCTAAAATGGTAGAGTAACTTGCACCCCACAAGAAAAGAATAAGTTTGGCTGGGGACTCTTGGGGGGGAATGCCTTATGTCTCTACTACAGAGGCTTTTCTAAATTAAAGCTTGGCTTCCTTATACAGTAGTACCTTGGGTTAAGAACTTAATTCGTTCTGGAGGTTCGTTCTTAACCTGAAACTGTTCTTAACCTGAGGCACCACTTTAGCTAATGGGGCCTCCTGCTGCCATCACGCCACCGGAGCATGATTTCTGTGTTTATCCTGAAGCAAAGTTCTTAACCTGAGGTACTATTTCTGGGTTAGCGGAGTCTGTAAGCTGAAGCGTATGTAACCTGAAGCATATGTAACCCGAGGTACCACTGTACAGTCAGCATTGCTTATTATGGATGTAACTCTCCATGGTCTCAGACTTTTCTGGTTTCCTAGTCCTGTTACCAAAGATGCTTTTTAGGTTTGTGTACCTCTGTAACCTAAGGTACCACTGTATGTGTTTTCATGCAAAATGAGGCTTATATAGCTCAACTTGCCATTTAACCAGGGAAGGGTGGGACAGGGAATGGCTAAATAATCGATTCTTAATGTTTTTCACAATTGGTTGGATCTGTTGCTGTGCAATACTGAGTGCTACAGTATATGCAAATGGGCCCTTTTATGGAAAAGTTAAATTAAGAAAAACACTTGCAACAATTACTTATCTTTTGGGCAAATATACAGCTGTTGCTTATTTATTCTTCAGCTATTTCATTCTCTAATTTCCTTCACCAGGATAAATAATTTTATCATATTTCAAAATTTGTTTGCTTAATAGATTTCTTATTTAAATATTTACTGTGCTTCATTGTAATATTTCAGCGCTTCATCACTTATTTTAATATCAGCCGTATCTACGTTGTTACTTTTCTGCACAAATAAGGATACTGTACTAGAGAGATACATTATTTGTCTTGATAACACAAGCTATACTTTTTTATTTTAAAAAAAGCATAAAGAGGAATCCTTCTCTTCACTGCCGGAGCGGGTTATGACAAAGGAGGACATGTCCATCTACTGGCTGCCTCTGGTGGCCCCTATGCATAAGGACCGCTATGAAGGCCCCTACTGCAACCACGAAGAACATGGAGTTCCTACCAGTGGAAGCAAGCATATGGCTTTGAAAGGGGGTGTTAGTGGGTGGGAGAGGAGCAGGGTTGTCCACAAATCTTCTGGAAGCAAAGCTGCTTCATTCTTCTCAGCTATGTCAGCTCAGAGCATCTCTCAATCAATGGGTTGCATCTGACCAAGTCATATTCAGAGTAGATCCATTGAAATCAGTTGGCTTGTTAGTCATGTCCATTGATTTCAATTGGTCTGTTATGATTTTGACTTAGTCATAATGCTGCAGTCCTTCACATGTGTACTCCCAGGCAAAAGTGGCTCACCAGATGGGATGGAGTCACTCCACTAACTTCCAGACAGGTGGGTCACTATTGCTTACTGGGAGGGAAATAATTGTTTCCTTTCATAGAATCACAGAAGTATAGAGTTGAAAGGGATCCTAAAAGTCATCTAGTTCAACCTCCTGCAATGCAGGAATCTCAGCTGAAGCTTCCATGACAGATGGCCATCCAACCTCTGCTTAAAAACCTCCAAGGAAGGAAAGTCCACAACCTCCCAAAGGAGACTGTTCCATTGTCGAACAGCTCTTATTGTCAGAAAGTTCTTCCTGATATTTAGTTGGAATCTCCTTTCTTGTAACTTGAAGCCATTCAAGTCCTACCCTACAGAGCAGGAGAAAACAAGCTTGTTCCCTCTTCCTGTGTGGAGAGCCACTGTGGTGTAGTGGTTAGGAGTGGTAGACTTGTAATCTGATGAACCAGGTTTGCGTCTTCGCTCCTCCACATGCAGCTGCTGGGTGACCTTGGGCTAGTCACACTTCTTTGAAGTCTCTCAGCCTCACTCACCTCACAGAGTGTTTGTTGTGGGGGAGGAAGGGAAAGGAGAATCTTAGCTGCTTTGAGACTCCTTCGGGTAGTGATAAAGCAGGATATCAAATCCAAACTCCTCCTCTTCCTCCTCCTCCTCCTCCTCTTCTTCTTCTTCTTCTTCTTCTTCTTCTTCTTCTTCTTCTTCCTCCATGTGACAATCCTTGAGATATCTCCTGTCAGTCTCCTCTTTTCCTGACTAAACATACCCAGCTCCTTCAACTGTTCCTCATAAGGCTTTATTTTAACGAGTTCAGTAACTATGACAACTGAGTGTAGTGCCTCTGGAATTTGGAATTCTCTGACCTGAGACTGAAAGGTGTGTGCATGTGTAAACATTCAAAGGCCGCTTAGAAAGAGATGCTCAGTCTGAGACTGCACTCTTCTTGTGCACACTTATCAGGAGTGAAATCAGTGATATTTACTCCTGGGTAAACAATAACAAGTGGAGTCTGGCTTTGTTTTCTGTTTCCTTGACAACCAGGATTGTTACATAAATTCAAGAAATGTCTTATGGTGGCTAAAAAAAACCATTGCTATTCTTAAAACTGTTTTCCATATTACTCGCCTAATGAACACATGCAGTAGATTGCTTGGATGTTTTATTACAGTCAAGCAGTATATAAATTTCCTTCCTATGTGCATATAGGAAGCTGATATTTGCAGGGAGTCAGGGTAGGAGGGGGGAAGAAAAGCAAAAGA